GGCGCTATTTGGAAGCACTTTTACAGGGTTTAATCTCAAAATAGAAGGGCTAATGCATTTATTCGTTTCTTTCAGCCACATTTATCAGGACATGGATGCCTCTTAATTGTACTCCGAAGTAAATTATAGGAGAATTCTTAAAGGAAAACATCAACTTCTAAGCATGTAGGAATTGATATACAAGACTGGAAAAATAGCAACTACTTTCAGCTGTTAAAAACGAGTCTAAAAATCGGCCAATAATATCCGAATACATTAGAAACTCTGTCCAACATTATTTTTTTCTCCTCATTCGTAGTAATTATTTGCCATTCCGAATATACACATCATGTGCACATGTATCCATAACTATCCACAAGGTGATTGCCTCTGCAGGCTGATTCACCGGCAGGCTGCAGTGGCCACTGAAGCTGGTCGGCTGCTGGTGTACGCGAGTTACCGAGTCAGACGACTTATTCAGCTCAGTGAACGAATGAAGTAGTGGACGGCGCAAGCCTGTTGATGACTCATCGGCCGTCAAATTTCGTGAGCTGCTCTGCGCTGCTCGTAAGCGCAGCTTGCTGGGAACAGAATCCACCAGTCGGTTGGATGATTAAATTCGAGAAAAACGTGAAAGGACGCCGAGTTTCGAACAGACGGATGGCATAGGATGACGTAGTAGCTAGCGAAGCACGGACTAAAAATGAAAAGACATTTTATTAGATTACCATAAAATACCTCTTTGCTGATGACTGTACTGTAAAATGTAACTCGTTGGAAAGCGCTCTACTGATTAAGTCCATAAAGTTTCGGCATACTGTTCTTATCGTTGCTTATAATTTGCCCATATGATTTATTCGTTTAATTTTTTTGCATAGAAACAATTTTTCAGTAACGGCTATAATAATACTGCTAGACAAACTGCATTCGCAGAATATTGAGTATTATCATGATTTCTCTGGACGTGTGAAACACTGCGGTTATTATCCCTAACGCAGAATCAGCCTGCTCCCATAATTGTATGCATAGTTTTAGCATAATTTACTATCAAAAATAGTAAGTTTGCATTTTAAAATGTCAGAAACATCTTAGAACGAACAGTACTGTAAAAAATATTGGTGTCTGCACTGGATTTCTCCTGAGTCATGTATTATGTATGAGCAGGTTGGGCAACTAGCCAATAGTAAACGTACGGCGGAAAGAACGAAGGTCAGTAAATCATTTTTTTAAAGCAAATCTGAAATAGAAACTGGTGTCCGATGTCAGACCCCACTGCAAATTACATATCTGGCGTGAGAGAGGGAGGGAGTTTAAAACAGAAAACACCCATAAGCAAGCGTGAAAGGTCCAAAAGGAAAAATAAAGAAGCGACTTCTTATCTCAGCATGTTCCCGTTATTATACCGTTAAACGTTTCAAATGGCATTTTCGAACAAAAAACATCTGTTCGGAAGACAATCTATCGGCACCTCAAATGACGCATGATCAAGATGCAAAATATTGTTTCACTATTCAGCTTACCAGAGTGTCCTGAGGAAGACGGACGTTTTTTTATATGCAGTGAAGAAAGTTCTTCTGCTGAACATATTAGGGTTGCACAACACTTACACCTAGTGGGTACTTTTTGGTAGGCAATTACCTCCGTATTGCCTTGGCCTACCGTGCTTGTAGTCGCCGCGGAATTCATCCCACCGATTTCTCTGGATAAGTAAATGAGAAGCATCTACATAAATATATTCTTTGATGCTTAAGGCAAGTCTCGGCACTGCCTTCTTTGAAGATCCCTTAGAGCATAGGAGCAAAGATCATATTAACTTTCAAAAATGCCAGGAGAACCACACTGTGTAATCAAGCTTAAGTATCCCACTTCCTATTTTTGGTTTCAGTCACAGCATATCCTAGAAAGTTTGAACTCCCTGCTCATTATTAGTTTTCTGCGTACCTTAAACGACTGCTTGCCTAAACATTTAGCTTCCTAAAGGTTACTTTGTGATAGCTTTTGACGACACCACGCAACCTATCAATGAAATAGAACGCCACAACGCCAATGGTATCGAAATCACTTACACTTCTTAGCAATTGAGTTTCTAAGTGCAAAGCAGCGCACAATAATCAAGTTTACGCCCAAGTACTTTTGAATTCAAGCTTCTAGGACAGTTCCTCAATAGAAAATGTGTGTTTTTGAAGTGTTTTACGGCTCCTTTGAAAGGTCGCAGGTTTTATTATGAAAAAGATCCCGTTACGAGTAAAAAATGCAGACGACGACGTTTTGTAATATTCTATGAATATTTCATGAGTGCCCCCTACAAGAAAACATGAAATTTTCCTTGTGTTATATACGTCGGTTCTTTACGTTAAAGACCGCAAAAATAGGTGTGCACTCATAAATAAACCAAGCTGGCGTTTATTTGTTCATCCTTTGACAATCCCCAGGAAATTCCACTATGGCCTAGAACTTCGGTGACCAGAAAAGGTTAAGTGCACCTGTTGAATTTTACATCCGGTATTTAACTTAACTGTAAGGCTCTTCGGAGAACAGCCTTGCCTTGTTGCACTAAGAAAGTGCACATGTTTTGTATTGCATTTAGATCGGCGCACACATAGTTGAAATGACGTCTTCAATTCTGTTCACCAAAAAGGCTGCACTTTTATCTTGCGACATGAAAATAATTCCATGTTATAATTAAGCTCTGCCGCTATCATGCTGTATTACACTAGTAAACGCAATGCGCGGTGTTTATTCAATCCAATTGACAAAAAGAAGTGTCAGCATTTAAAAATCGATGTTGGCATGGCCCCGGCGGGTTTCCGTCTACTCTGAATGGCTCTCCTATCTCTCATTAGGATTTCTGTACGCCACATCTAACTTTATGTGCCCGTTTATGCACGATGCGCTTCCTGATACACAACTAACTCATGATTTGACATATTGGTTTGCAATTCGATATCGCTACATGTGTATCGATGATTTCTGTCAGGAACAAGCGAGAAAGCAGTAACCGTCAATCTATGCAAAATTTTTAGTTTACTGTTTTCCACGTCCCAAAAAGAACAAAAGATTATTCTGCAAAAAGTCCCATTTTACGAGTGAAAATTCGTATTGCCAAAGAATTATTTTCGGTCATTCATCATCAGGCCGGTACATGACATGGGAAATAAAAATCGTCAGCTAATTGCAGCGTTTATTTGATCGTCAGGTTGGGGAGGGGAGGAGGGGAGTTAGTGGATGGGTGAGTTAGTGTAATTAAGCATCTGGGTTTTCCCTCGTCTTCTGAATGCGGGCGTCAGTGCGGGTAGGACGTTGGTTGCGATGCCCAGAGAAGACAAGGGGATATTCTCCCGGTAAGCAGTTAAAATTCTGTATGTCAGGCGCGCAGCTTGCGCTTCGCTATTCTCTGTGGCTTCGTTTTCTGTGTTTTCGGACGACGTGGCTTCAGGAGGCTTGGGATTTCCGCGTTCGGTCGGCCAAGGGAGGCAGATTGCTTGTACCAGTGCCTTTTGCCAGCATAGGGTGGGTTTTTTCTAACCGGATTGCCACTGTCTCTGCTGTGGCTAACGCCCGTTTCCGCAGGCCTTTGGAGTAGTGTGTCGGCGTGTGGAATATGACTCGAAAGGCTTCTCTCGTGTCCACTTGGTGGTTCGTATCAATTAGGTGGACGAGGATTGAGCTTGAGATCGGTCTATTCTGTCCTTTGCTGAGCCACGCTGGTATGTGCTCGCGTATTCTCTTCCCCAGACGTCGCGTTGTTCGGCCAAATATAATCCAGGAACAGGTGAAAGAATAGATGCCCATTGGTGTGACCTGAATCGATAGCCTGTCTTTATTTCCCATTCGTAGAAGGGGGGAGTTATTGAAGAGTACGCGTAAGTTTGCCGCCGGGAAGGCACTCGTGACTGCTGTC